AACGGATGTACAGAGTTTAAGAGCAGTCCAAGGTCCGCATCTAAGTCCCCTTCCTTCTGTAATGAACAGTTACAGTCGAGCAATGCTGGTGTTTCGCACTCACTCACGGTCGGAGCTGAGAACATGCGTCTCCCATATCTCGTCAGTAGTGCGACCACCTGAATTTGGCCCCATTCATCGAGGTCTCCTAGCATTCTGCAAAGTCTGCGGTAATGAGGATGCAAAAGGTCTAGCCTGGTTGAACATAGCGCATTAAAGGCAACTGCCACTGCGCCAATCGCCAGAGGTGAGCGGTCATGAAGAAGCGAGGATAGGATAGTCATTAAGGAAGAAAACTGCGCAGCATCCAGGCTTTTGGGGAATAAGCGATCTAGAAACGTAGCAAAAGGTTATTACCTCACCCATAAGCCTTGGGGATTGCCAGTGCCGCTGCTTTTCGCACATATGGGCTGGTATCCGAGGCACACTTTCCAATGCCAGCACAACTAGGGAACTAATAATAGGTACAGGTATTCCCGAGAGAACGCGGAGGGCCATAGCACGAATCAACGGATTGGGATCCGCAAGATCTTTTTGGAAGGTGTTAATGGAGAGAAGCGCCAAATCGGGCTCGACGCCGGCGTATCGCAGTAAGTAGATATAGACTAGTTTTCGTGTCTCAAGACTGCTAGAACCAACATTTTTCACAACCTGGGCGAAGAACTCAGATACGTTGCGACCCTTTGAGATTAACTGGCAGTAAAGACTCAGGAAATTAGGTTGGAGAGGAGACTAGCACGAAGGCGACGCACAGCTACCAGTCTTTTCATGGCCTCCAATTTGTCTCTCTCTGATGATGATTCTAACTGGCGACTAATCTTCTTGACTTTGTCTTCGTCGGTGTCGAAGAACTCCAAGTTTGGCGAACGACCCATGAATGGAAGATCACGCGTTGATTCGGATATGGTTTCTTGAATCCTCATCCCCAGATTAGTTAGTGCAGCCATCGTTACAGAGGAAGCAAATAAACTCCCTTTTGCGCAGTGACCTGCAGTGACCCGTCAGAAAGGTTGTGACATTCCCACGGATGATTTCATCAAGTCAGAGTCTGTCATGAGTTCTGCTAGCGCCATTCTGAAGCGCGCGGTTAAACTCGTACCAGCATATGGTTTTACCGGGAAGCACTGGCCCTATCCGCAACAGCCGATTCTTTGAGTGATGGAAAAACTCGCCTGAGCGACTCCGCTGTCTCGGCGCTTTTTGGACCCGGGGATAAAGCAACAAAGGCTCTTGTGATAGCCTGGATGGAAGAAGGATGCGAAGACATGAAATTGGCAGCTTCGGGCACCGGTAGTGTGCTTGGTATGGAGGATGTGCTATCAAGGAGGCTCCGCTGGAATGAGAACGTCTTGCCCCACTTGACGGACGTCAGCGCTTTTTTGGCTTTCTGTGCTTCCTATCCGCTGCTGATGAGGGTCAAATTCCTTGGACATCCAGGCTTTCGCAGTAATGATATCCTCATCTACACCCTTTGTCCCGGTCCTCAACTTCCGTCCTGCCTTTGAGCATGCGTTTGCGATCGCAAATGAGGCTTGTTACATCGCCCAACCACCACCCAATATTCCAGTGTGTATTCGGCAATTCTCTTGGTGGCTACATCTTACGGCGTCTCTTTCTGTAGTCGGGATGGTACACACACCGTGCGGTCATCGCTGCCATATATGCTGCAACAGGTGGCTCGCAATTTCTCTGTGTCATTGACAGACTATTTACAAAAGCTCTCCCTGATTCATCCGCCTCACCGCGGCGTGATTATTTTCGCTGCATTATGGTTGCTTTAGAGTTACACCAGCTGACATCACCCCAATCGGCACACTCGTTCCTGCAATCTCTGTTGTTCACATCTCAGCAATTAGGTAAAGTGGTGAGTGAGATGGAGCCATATGGCGGGTTCATCATAAAAGGGTGGGCAGAGATGCTGAAAGGATAGGGGTTCATTGAATTAAGAAGCTCCACTGTTGTGTTTACATTAGCAAGGAGAACGGAACATCAGCAAACCCCCGAAGTTGATAAAAGTACTTTAATCACTTCTATTTGTTATTGTAATTTATGCGTCGATTGAGACTCAAGCAGCTCAATCACAACAATCTCAATGTACACTGAAGCGGCAGATCCCACTACTCTTACCTTGCATGCGTGTTCACTCTCAACGTTGCTATTGGCTGAGACGAAGCCCGAGATTCGCTCTGATTTCAGGACCATGTAATTTACACTGCAGCTATGCAATGAGCGGAATAGAACTGTATGGGGCAGAGAATGGACCCTGGGTTTGGGGGTCATACAAGACCCTGTGCATAGGACAATTGAGTTTGGGAGAAAAAAAATGTAGGACCCGCTACGGAGTAGCGGGAATTACGTACTTTCCTTCCCATGCATGATATGTGAAACCATGGCTTCAACTAGGTTAGGAAATATGCCTATTTGCATCTGATCAACTTCACAGGTTGGCTCCGAATGAATAGCTTTATGGACTTAACATTTTTTTTCACTCGGTGATGTGGCACTTATGCATCACTTGGAGTTTTCCAGGTAGGTCACTTATGTTTCTTTCATAGTACATATTTTCCAAGTTACTCATAGCACTCTATGCATAACTACAGGTTGTATGAGCTGCTCAGCCATGTCTGGTGAGTGCTACCCATTAGTACATGTTCACACACTAATCCTTCATCACCTAAGGGACTGTCAGGGCATACACCCTGACCTAGCCCATACCCGCATCCACACCCACACCCGCACCTGCGACTGCACCCAGCTGTTGCACTCCCTGCACACGCCCTGTGCCAGACACTCAGTGCAGCCAGATGGCCCGGACCTCGGGTCTCGGGTCTCATGTGACTTCCGGATATCTCCGGAAGTTTTTGTCAGGGCACGCCCGCCTGACCCGGCCCCACCTAACCCGGTGCCCCACCATCCACTCCTCCCGACCTCCCCCTCTTCCCCTTTTCTCCCTTCCCTTCCTTCCTCTCCTTCTTTTCTATTCCCTCTCCTCTTTATTCCTTTCTTATCACACGGACGACTTCCTTTGTATCAATGTACCATTGACCCGGCTGCAGCGTAACGCGCCCGAACCCGGACACACCGGACGACCCCCCGCACACCGGACGCTCCTAGGACCTCTTACGGAGGTACCCAGATGGAGGTGGCTGTGTGCTCGGATGACGTGGCGCTTCCCACGTGGCCTTCAACCACATGTATATAAACACAGCCTAAGTGGGAACTGAGAAGCAACCTTCTTCTCACATTTCCCACTTTAGGCAAGTAGCTTACACTTCCCTTGATAATGACAATAACACATTTCCCACTTTAGTCTTAGTGGCCAGGGACCCTTGTCTGCTTCGGGCCCGCTGCTACGCGCGCCCGCGTCATACCTACCGGACCCTCAGCCTCGGGCGATACACCCGGGCGCTCTCGACCCCGGGTCGGTCCCTGACACCCTGACAGGGACCTGATAACTCACAGAATCACCATCCCACTGTTGAAGTGGCATTCCGATGCCCTTGTGTTTTGGTTATTGTCCCTTTTATGGGAAGTTTCCCTGTTCTCATGGTTTAGCCTTTGTTCCTTTGCACCACACAGAAGTGTATACAAGTGTGCTCATCATGTACTTTATTTATGACAATATCTAATGACACTGTGATATTGTGCTCAGAGGTCAGGCTGCAATGCTGTGATTATAACACCCACAACTCCTGAATCCAACCATTCCTCAAGCCCCCCATGTCTGACACACACCCAGAATCCTTTGATGAACTGGGGCCTTGCCCCTTTGACTTTGTTTACATTTTGTATTTATGCACTGTACATAAAGATCATGAAATCCAAAATATCACTGCAATCACCCCTGAATTTTAAGTTGAAATTGACTCAATATGGCCTCTTGTAATCAGGGGGCATTCTAGAATGATATCACAATAAAAATGATTCCTATCATTTCTATCAACTTCAGTGATTTGCTGATGAAAGTTAGTGTAAGGAGTGGTAACCCCACCCCTTATTTCCCACTTACATAATTGTATAATTGTCTTGTAATAAACAAAGTACATACAATAGTGTGGGAAAGTGGAAAGAGCAATTTAGCCTTTCCTCCCACAACTGTTGCAAATATAACTTCATACAAGTTAGTTTTGTTGACAGCCTGAGGAACTAGTGTAAGCACATGGTTAAGGTTGCCTCACACTCCCAGTCCATCTCACAAGTACGCTGTAATAGGCTGTATTGTTAATGGGGGAGTTGTCAGAGACCAGGTTGAGACGAGGGAGTGTCTCCGTGATGGAGGGCTTCGGCCTCAGCGACTTATGCCAGGAGCGCTGTGCCAAGTAACACGTCCATGCCCTAACTTACTAAACTGGCAACCAGAACTGAAGGGGGTAAAGTAAACTCTAGTCGATTTTATTACTGAGGTGTAACCTATGTACAAGTTGAGTATATATATAGTTACAATGAGAGCGGGCCCGCAAATGGCGGAGCCGAGCGGAGCGGAGCTAACGGGGTTAGACATTAGCCGATTGAATATTACCAATGAGTCGGGTTACAGGGTTAATGGAATGGTAGGCAATAACCCAGAAATGGAAAGGAGGGATAGGCCTGAAGGTGGGCTTGCAGGGCAAGCGAGTGTATTGCCCAGCAGAGGTGGGAGTGTGCTAGCGGACGTCGGAGCTGTCTGGAAGCCTTCGGGGCTCCGTACTTAGGGAGGCGTAGGTAATAAATTGAAAAGAGGGGGTGGTGACCATCGAGGGGTACCAAGGTGATTGCGGAATATGGGAGCTCTGAGGTTAGTGAAGAAGGAGCGGAGGTAGACCGGAGGGATCGGAGGGAGTAGAAGTCGATGGCCGGGGATGGATATGACAGGAGTAAAGGCTAAGTTGCCTTTCCTCCTACCCATGCATCTTATATACTTGTATATACATGATGTAATGTGGCTTCAATACATATTCCTACATCCTCCTCCCTTGCAATATTAAATATTGCACAGAAAGGAAGGGTACCAAGAAGAAGAAAAGGTGAAGAAGCCTTCACATTCCTGACTTATCAGGAATAAATCAAAATAAACAATGAATAAACAATGAAAGCGAAGGCAATTAGGCCTCCACTCTTCAGTGTATAGACAAGTATAACACAAAGGCGATTAGGCCTTCATGGCACAAGTAAGTGACAAAGGTGGTTAGACCTAAGTCACACATAGAACAGAGCACAGGTGACATGGGTGATTAGACCTTAGCCACTCTGTGAACAAAGTATACAGCAACACAGGTGGTCAGACCTGAGCCACTCTGGAAAGAATTATTGCCATTTTCAAAATTCCTGGCAAACTCCATAATTCAAAAAATCATGCTTCAAAGTTTGCACCATTACTCAGTGTCAGGGCAATAGCCCTGAACCCTGAGCCATATGTAATTACAAGATACATATAGTCACATGGGTAAGCAGTAATGTCTGTTAACTGCTTACACACACTGTAAAATACACATCTTTGTATCACTTACGGCTCTGTGTGCTGAGCTACCCCACTGAGACCTCACACTTTTTTAAGTGTATGAGGTGTGTTTTACAACACAACCCACCAAATCTATCACATCTTAACAATTTGACTCAGTAGCGCCAATGGCACCTAAACATGCCCGCAAGGGCAAGGTCGCATCTGCAGCAATGATAAAGAAAAACAAGCGGTTTATAAAGAAACCGCAATCTCCCATCATGGGAGACTCAAACCAACAGTCATTGTCAGATGATGACAAGGATCAACATGATCTGGAAAAAGCAACCACCTCAGGGCTGGTCCCTGAAGGTTTTAAAAACTTACGTGGAGTAAGTGTGGGGCCCAATACCCCTAGAACTCCACGTCACATTGATCTCACCCAAGCTGGGGAAGATCTTTCACCTCCTCAGGAGGTGATCGACTTGCACGATAAACGCATAAGTGCTGAACAATCAGCCCAAAAAGCTG